TATATATATATATAAAAAGACCATCAAACCACTAAGCCTCTCCTTAATTCTCCATTTCGCCATCCTTTCCTCTCTCCTAACCCCTGCAGATTCCCATAATCACACCCTCTCACTCCCGTGGCCCCCACTGTTAGGAGCCTCTGTGTGACCCATATCCCATCCTAAAATCCTGCAGTTTAATTCTCCGTGGTGAGAGATCAGTGATGTCCATTAGGGCAGCAGACGGACAGATGGCCATGTTCTGCTCTCCGTGGCTTTGGCTCCGTGTTGTTCTCTCGCTTCCTTTAAAATCGCACGAGAGCCACTCCTTTACTTGGTAAATAAAGCCTTTAAATATGTGAATGAGAGAGAGAGACAGTGGTACATGAGTGAGAAAAACATCAGCTGTGGACACATGGAACAGAAACTGTAGTAGAAGTAGCCTGCTGCTCTTTTGTTTACTACTGGCTTAAGCCTATCTGGCACAGGGTTGCATCCTGTCTAATCCCAGTATTACAACACACCCGGCAGAAGCGTCTGTGTGAGTCAGGAGATAAGTGTTTACATAACAGTAATGCAAATGCCTCTGTAGTCCTCCCTAATGTGTTTCCTGACTAAAACAACACATATTCAGATGGCTGAATCAACAGGCAAACTGCGAGGTGAGACTCCGTGGATTGAGGAACTCTGCGAACCCTGACGCAGAGCGGGCAGGAAAGTCTTTCTCACTCATCAGTTCTCATCCACGTAGCGGTAATTGCTGGTTTCTGTAATTGTGAGATCAGCATGGTCTATTATGAGCCCCGTAATCTCCGAATCATGCTCTAATATAATGATAGTCGGCAGAACGTCTTCCTCCTATCTGTTTCTGGTTGCCATGTGATTTGCGGCTCAGCTCAAACACACTGATTCACTCGTTTGTCAGCTCGTCTCCTCATCGAGTCAGACGTGATTCAGATCTGATCTTTAGCTCTCAGGCTCAAGTGAGGCTGTCAGAAGACCTTTTTTGTAGTTTCTTTGTAGGAGGTCCAAAAAAATAGGAAAACAAAACAGGTTTACAGATTTCACTGGGATTTAGTTTAAAAGCTAAATCCCAAGCTAAGTTGGCAAAGTGAGAGAGCATCAGAGAGAGAGCGTTCAGTTTGAGGATGAATATGGTACGACTGAAAACTCAAGATCAGCTATTATTGGGCGCTGCAGTGAGATTATTTTCTGAGTGTTTCTGACAAACATCCAAATGCAGATTTCCTGTTACTGAAACGGGAAATCTGGAGGACTGTGCAGTGTTATCACAGGTAGCTTCTGTTTCTTCATATGTCCCCCCCTCTTCTTCCCTTTCTCCAAGGATGTCCAGTGAAGCATGTCCATCCACCCTGCGGCGTCAAATCTGGAGCCTAATGCACTCATTGCATGAACACGAACTATAGACACACAATTGCGCACACACTGAAACTGTCCATCTACTTGTATCAGCAGCGATAATCGTTTGAGCAATTTTCAAGCAAGAGTCCCAGAAAATTAAAGCGTTCAGCTCCTCAAATATGAAGATTTGCAGTCTTACTTTGTCTTCAGTTGAATTGGCTTCAATTCTCTGATTGTGCAGCAGATTAATCAGTAATAAAAAATCACTGTTAAGTACAGACCTTTCAGTTTTGAGCAGGTTAAACAACAGTTAATTCTTGTCTATCTAACACACCCTTCCCTTCTCCTTTTAAGAACTATTATCACTTTCGTGGTGCAATTGTAGATCAGCAAAAGTCACGTAATAAATCTCATTAGTAAATAAGTCTTGACATAGGGGGTTAAAGTGCATTAATGTTATGAATAAATTAAGTAGTGATTGAGATTTAAGCTACTTATATGATTCATGTCCACTCAGAGTGACGTTTAATGGCTCTCACCCGGCATGCAGTCCACTCCTCGCACCAAAGATGAGCCAGACCCAATGGAGTAAACCTCCGTCTGCGATTCGCCTCCATCACAATCACATTTGCAGGACTTGTTAGTCCACGCCCCAGGGTTCTTATACAGACACACATAAACAACGTTTATCAGCTGAAAATTGACATAGAGCTCATTTACAAATGATAAAAAGAGAATAATTTAACATAATAACTCTGGTGTTATCTGTGTTTTGCTGTTGATGTTGTTTTTCTTTCTTTTTCTTTACAAGCAAATCCTAACACTGTGACAGTTAAATCATCTGTGACATTTTGCTGGGTTGCTGAGATTTTTCATACCTCCTGAGCATAAATACTGATGATCACTGTTCAGCCAGATGGACAGGAGGGAAAAAAGCCAGTTGATGAGGCACAGAAGAAGAAGAAAAAAACAGGACTGTTAGGACATCATAGTCACCCTTTCTGGATACTAAAATCTGTGAATCAATCTGTTAGTTTAACCACATTAAGAAAAGGTAAATAAACACAACACACACTGGTAATAAAATATAATATCAGTGCAAGTGTAAGAGTGAAACTGTACCGTTTGTTCCCAGGAGAAGGAGGCCCAGCAGGAAATGTTGTATGATGAGAGCCATCTTCCAACCTGCTCCAAACCAGACCAGACTGACCATAGACTGAGCATTCAAGCTAGTAGTGATAGGAAGGCTGGATTACAATAATCCACGGGACACTAATGGCCTTATCTAATGCCATCCTTATCTAACAAAGCCCCTCCTACAGCTATTCACCCATCACCATTAATGCCATCATACCTGGAAAATCTCCATGTGGTCACAGAGGTCAAGTCAAAAATCCTGCATTAAAAAAAAAGAAGACACCAGCGCACCCAATTGCCACACTAGAGTTGTGTGTGTGTGTGTACAAGAGTGAAAGCAAGAGAGATGGATGCTGGTGGCTGATGCTGGGCCTAGTGATCCATATGATTGGACAGAAGGACCTGCAGTTGGATGTCATCCTCAAATGTTTGCAGTTCTCTTCTATACTATCACGTTAGGCTTGAAGGAAGGAATGAAGGAACCTGGTTTTTAATACTTGGTTCTTTGCTGTGATGTAACTAGAGTGACATAAAATTGTATCGTATTTATTGTTTAATTTTATTTTTATTTAAAAAATGTTTAAAAAAATAAAAAACAAATTTAAATTAAGAAAATTAAAAAAGAAAAAAAGAATTCAATTAAGAGTCTAAGTACATAGATGATATTACTATTTCACAAATGTATCAATGTACTATTTTTTATTTATAAACCATTTTTCTGAAGGTAAAAGTCTCTCATAAACATAAAATGAATGCATGCATTGTATATATTGCTTATAGATCTATTTTCTTTCATGTTATTTAGTTATTTTGTTTTTGAGTGGATTTAAAATGCTGCAGGTGACAAGCACGTGGATAATTATCATCAGAAGCAACTTTTAAAAACAAAATAAGCGAGTGTCCTGTTCCTGTGTTTGTTTGAGCGTGGCGTTTCTCCCTCCTCCCACTGAGGGTTTTAAAGCCAGGTGGGTAAAAGTAATTAAGCCTAATCAAGCAAAGCTGTTTCCAATTTGTGCTGATTAGAGCACGAGTTTCACTCCCTGCGCGCCCTTTTGCTTTCACCAGTGGCCTTATAAAAGAGATTCTGCATGTTTCACTAGGTGATTTCTCTTCATGACATTTTTTCCCCTTCTAGGAACTTGACACAGCAAACATGAAGGCGGCTGTTCATGCAACGCGTAGGATCCCTCCACGCACCAAAAAGAGGATTCATACTTACTCCACTCTCATCTACAGAGCTCATAAAGAGGTCAGAATGCACACTGTAATTGTCTGGCCTGTACATGTTCTGTTATTATGTGATGAAGGACTGGTTTCACATGCACTTCTTTCATGGTATTCTTCTTCTGCAGGTTAGTCCTGTTGGACTGAGAAGTCCTGAGTTTCTGACCAGGAGGCATGGTGTCCCCAGACCGGTCCTGCTCAGGCTTGTAGGCTTAGAGGCTTCTCGGCTGTCCAAGTCAAACAGGTTGAAAGTCATCACTCGGAAAGAGCTCAGTGCTGCTGTTGCACACGTACAATGGAGGATTCATGCACGAGCTGCTGCATGAAGATATAGACTTTATACCAAAATTTTATTTTTTATTATTAAAGGGTTTATTTTAATCTTTGCCTCTTTATTGAAGTAAAACTATTAAGTAATTAACCCTAACAGCTGGTAGATGACTAGGACTGACAGGAAGTGTGTACGCTCAGATTTATGGTTGGAAATGTGGTATGTCAGGGGTGGGCAACTCCAGGCTTTAGGTGTGTCCTTGATCCAACACAGCTGATCCAAATGGCTAAATGACCTCCTCAACATGTCTTGAAGTTCTCCAGAGGCCTGGTAATGAACACATCATTTGATTCAGGTGTGTTGACCCAGGGTGAGATCTAAAACCTGCAGGACACCGGCCCTCGAGGCCTGGAGTTGCTCACCCTGTGGTATGTGGCGAGATCACTATAACACTATCAGTGTTAACGGGCTTCAGGATCACTGACTACAAAAACAAAATGATACTGTTTTGTATGAACATCCTCACACTGAAGTGGCTTAGAAACACTGAAGTAGGTTTTTACAGCTGCTTTCTCAGTCCAATCTGAAGTTTCAGGAGAGGCTGGATGATTCAACAATATGGTTCAAACATCAGTAAACTTAAAAGGAAATTTCCATCCTTTGAAATGGCGAAGTCATGACCTTAACCCTGTGGAAATGGTGTGGCATGACCTTAAGTGCAAATGTGTCTTGGGGTGTGGGAAGATTTTTCCAGGCTGCCCCCAAATAAAAGCTCTCTTGTCATAACTAGGATGAAAACCAGACTATTTTGAGTTTGTTTTTTTGGTTTGTTTTTTTTCTCAGGAGGACAGAAGTAAGAATACACACTGTTTTCTTATTATACTTGGTTAACAAGCTAATTAAACTGCATCTGAAAACTTAAAACGCTGTCAAAGGAAAAACGAGACTTCCCACTCGTCAAACACCGGCCCCTCCCGGGTTGAGGTTTCACTCCAGCTGATGCCTCCGCCTCTCCTGTGAGCTCTCCTCCTGCACCAGTAGCTCCTGTTGCATGTAGAGCTGCTCCGGAAACGCTCCAGAGTCCTCATATCGACCCGTTTTTACGCTCAAATCGATTCCATAAGCTAATAAGGCAATATAGAGCGCAACCGTATTTTATTATTATTGGTATGAATGAACTGCATGACCCTGTCGCGCGGATAAGAGCTACAGGTAGGTTTGAACTGATGATTTTTGCCAAACAAACACCTCGTTGGAATACAATGCTGTCCTAAAAGGTAACGCACAGTAAGACAGTGAGCAGCGTTTTTATTTTATTTTGGTATGATTTGACTCGATTAACTAGCAGGATAATTCTTACTGTCGCTTTTTTTTTTTTCTATTGTTTTATTTTTGTAAGTTGAAGCCAATCCTGCACTGTTTGAATACATTGAAGGCAACGTGATAATCGAGTACTGCTTTAACGATGTGTCTCTATAAAGGGAGCACGTTCTCATATCAATCAGTGTCATGTCACCAAATGCCACCAAACAGCTTTGGAAGAAGCGGCTAATGTGAGCCCTTCTGGACCCTCTCTGTTAGCCATCATGGGATGTGGCACCTCTGTCGCCACAGAAAAGCAAGGGGAAACACTGGAGCAGGGTAAGCATGTGTAGATGGTTTAATGCTGGAGTACACTGGATATTGGTGTATATACTGTCCCTAGAGAGATTTGTTCCTCCTGTGAAAGGTGGCAAAAACCCACACGCAAAGACGTCACACACACAAAACACCCCATAGGTGTTAAACACTAATTGGAAAGCAAAGCTCATGTGATGTTAAACAGCATATTTATTCGTGCTGTGTAATACTGCAAATGTTGGTATAGATCCGATACTAAGTAAATACACTGCCAATGTTACCAATACCGATACTTTTAACTTATAAAGAGCTTATGTAGGGAAAAGCAGCGACTTAGCAAATGATTAACATAATTCAGTGAGCTACATACTGAACAAAGAAGATTAAAGCAAAGTATCGATCCCATCGTGCTTGTACCAATACGGATATGTGATAATATCAATATATTTTTTTAATGGATCCGCCCACCTCTACTGTTTCTGGGCCCTTACAGAGACTTATTTCCTGTTACTCGAGTACAAGATAGTTTAATAAATGATTACACATCAGACACATACAGTTGCCCCTTATTAAAAAATGACTGCAGTCAGTTCACCTAAATTGCAGGGTGTACTCCAGGTGTTACTGAATGCTTGTGTTTATGCAAAGGCATTTTGTAATGCTATGCTTTAGTAAGTTACTAACCTGTTCTGCTGCAGCAAGGTGATGATAGCTATTTTTTTGCTGCAGTAAATGTGCCTCTGATTTTGACAGATGATGCTTTCCCTCCTTTGCAGTCTGTCTTTTCTTCTCTTTAATGAGTGCTGCTGCTCCCAGAAGCTTGTTTAATTTGCTTAGTTTTCCCAATCCCATTGTTGCACACGACCTCCCTTGTGTCTTGTTATCTCTCATATCGTGTGTGTGTGTGTGTGTGTGTGCTCATTTTCACACAGTTTTATTGAATTACACGTTTCACGTTTTCTCGCTGAATTGTAGTTTTCCCTTCATGCAGATGAACCAGTTAAGACTCCCAGCCCGGCTCTGAGTAAGACCCCGCTCATCCTTAACTGCCAGGCTTTTACTCATGTGGCATGTATAACTGTGTTTGTGTGCTTGTCTGTCTGCATTTTTACATTTTGCAAGAGTAACGGAGGATTCCTGTGGCCTGTGGAGTTCTGTAGAACTAAAAAGAAAACAATGGGTAAATAACAGCTGAAGAGTCATAGGCATCTGAGGTATGAGTTGTTGAAGCAAGGTTTAGCAGTAGTATGGTTTCACGCTATGAGTGAGCGCTACAAATGGGATGTTTGCTTTGAGTGTGCTGGTGGAGATGTATGGGGAGGTCAGAAGGAGCTTCACTTTCTCTTTGTGGATCTAGAGAGGGACTGTATGAGGAAGTAAGGAGAGGCAGAGAAGTATGTGAGGACGGTGAGATGTGGAGTAGGAGTGACACAAGGGTTCAAGGTAGGGGTGGGATTATATCAGCAGTCAGCTCTGAGCCCCTTTTTGTTCAAAGCGGTGATGGACTGGCTGAGAGATGAAGCTCAGACAGGAGTCTGCATACACTATGATGTTCACTGACATTATGATCTATAATGAGAGGAGGGAGCAGGTGGAGCCTGGAGCAATGGAGGCACTGGAGAGAAGAGAAGAAGAGGGGAAGTAGGTAGAAGCAAGACAATACGTGTGTGAATGAGAGGAAGAAAGGTGTAACAGTGAAGCTGCAAGGAGTACAGGTAGTAAAGACGCACAAGTTTAAATATTTGGATTTAGCCATGCAGAGCAATGGACTGCGCACAATGTCAGGAGTGATTTGTGGCCTGCTATGATGTATGGTTTGGAGATGGTGGTGCTGACAAAATGACAGGAGGTAGAACTGGACATGGCAAAGTTGAAGATGCTAAAATTTTTATTAAGAGTGACAAGAACGGACAAGATTAGAAATGAGTACATCAGAGGGACAGCTCAGGTTGAGTAGAGACAAGGTTAGAGGCGAGGATGAGATAGTTCAGACATGTTCATAGGAGGGATGGTGGATATATTGGATAAAGTTGAGTATGGAGCTGCCAGGCAGTAGGAAAGAGGAAGACCACAGAAGGGTCATGTGTGTAGTGAAGGAGGACATCCAGAGGGTTGGTGTGACGGAGGACGATGCTAGGGATGGGGTGAGATGGAGACAGCTAAAAAAGACGTTTTCATTTTCATCTGTTTTCATCTTTGTTTGCTACTACTTACACTCACTGGGCACTTTATTAGGTACGCCTTTTGCCCACAGAACTGCCTTAGTTCTTCATGCCATAGATTTAACAAGGTGCTGGAAACATTGCTCAGAGATTTGATCCATACTGAGATGATAGCATCACACAGTACCTGCAGATTCATCTGCTACACATCCATGATGTGACATTTCTGTTCCACCACATCCCAAGGGAGCTGGGATTTGAGCATTGTGGTATGGTGCGTTGTCTTCCTGGAAGCAGCCATCACAAGGGTACTAATTTTAGCCCTACAATTTGAATGTTTCAGCATGTAGCATGTTGCTATCATACAATTTTTGTGATCCTTGAATCGTAGCCTCAGTTTCCTGTTCCTAACTGACAGGAATGCCACCTGTAGCCCGTTTATTTCAGAGATGCTCTTCTCCATACTTCGATTGTAACCAGTGGTTATTTGAGTTACTGTTGCCATCCTATCAGCTCAAAGCAGTCTGGCCATTGTCCTCGGAGCTCTGGCATCACCCAGAGATCAGCAGTTTCTTAAATACTCAAACCAGCCCATCTGTCACCAACAACCATGCCATGTTACTTACATCACCTCTCTTCTCTATTCTGATGCTCAGTTTGAACTTCATCAGGTCATCTTGACCTAAATGCACTAAGTTGCTGCTATTTGATTGGTTGATTAGATATTTGTGTTAATGAGCAGTTGAAGAGGCGTACCTAATAGAGTGGCCGGTATTTTCTCACATGTTTAGCCTGTAAATAAAAAATACAACATTTTGTTGCAGCTATGAAGGCAGCTGTTTTGATCCAGCGATGGTACCGGCGCTACATGGCCCGTCTTGAGATGAGACGCAGGTACACTTGGAACATCTTTCAGTCTATTGAATACGCCGGGGAACAAGACCAGCTACAGGTGTCTCTCACTACAGGCATCTATTTTGCAAATTTCAGAAGTATCATAAAGCTTAAACATGCGTTTCTTTTTGGTTTTTCAGCTCTCTAGTTTCTTCACTTTCATGCTGGACAACTTCACTCAGCTGAATGGGAATGGGCCAGGTTAGGGGAGAAAATTCTCATATCTACAGCGTAAAAGGGTGTATTATTATTATTATTATTATTATTATTATTTTGCATGTCTAAAACTTAGATTTTTGCCTATAATATTTGGAACTGCTGAAGTAATGTTTGCTTCCTTTTGAAATAAAATATAATTTCCTAGTCCTGCTATGTAGACAGGGTCTCACTGGGTATTAATGTATGCAAAAACAACAAACCTATCACACTGTAGCAGCTAAATAAATGTGCCTAATTTTAAGAAACATTCGTTTTCTTATCAGTTGGTGTTTAATGATTGTTCCTTTTAACTTTTCCAACACCCCCGTTGTTTAAATTAACACCATTTTGTTTGTTATGCCACTGTACTTTAGATATTTTGATCTAGACGAGGAAACCCATTGCGTATACCCTGTTGCTTAGCAACTACTGTGAATGCGGAGGCCAATGTGTCGGTGTGGTGCACTGAAACAGCTGTGGCTTAAGTGTGTATTGACCCGCTCTTCCAGCTCAAAAGCATAATGTTTCATTGACAAGCTAATCCTCAGGGAAACCCTTTTTTTTGCTCATCATCTCCTGAACATCCTCTTCATGGGTTTTACGTTAAGTCTACATAAGGGATGCAAAGAGGCCAGACTCTGCTGTCTCGGTTTACTACGTACAGGATCTGTGTTTTTATATTTGTTTGTCAGAGACACTATAGAGGAAATAACACAATAGGAGAGGGATATGGGCCTCTGGGTAGACATCTGTCCCAGCACCGCTTGTTTGCATAATTTAAAGGCTGTCGGGATTTGTTCTTATATTTGAAACTTCAGTGAGGTCTCAAATATGAGAAGAATATTTAGTATATCCTATATTTCCTGTATATAAGATTATAGTATAGCACCTGTATATGAGATTTTTGTAGTTTAAGACTACAAGAGAGAGGGGAAAAAGCAACAATACACTCCCAGTACAGACAATATAGAAATTGTTGATGACAAGCTTATCATTGATTAAGTCAGAAAAAGAAGAGCTGTGTGGTGGGTGGGTTGCAAAGCAGCTTGCAGATGTGCTGCACCTATAGTCGTGTTAAAGCAGGTTAAAAGGTGCCACCTAGAAAACATTTTGCACTGGGGTGCTTAGAAGGGCATCAGCTAAGCCATCATCTCTCGTGAGCTGGCATTAACAACAGTGGATTTACCAGGATTGATAGCTGAGGTTTTTTAAGCTGTTATATAATTTTTTCATATAACCAAATATTGCGCATTCCTGTTTTTGATTTAAAGGATGTAAAGGTGAGGATAGAGGAAAAGGTACAAGATATATACCATTTACTCATTTTTTTTCTTGAGAAAGATAAGATTTCATGTTTGTGAACATCTAGCGTTCATTTTAAATAAATTATATGATGTGTAAATTGCGTTTCAGACTTGATCTCCCAGCTGCTGGATCCGGTGGTGGACCCATGGTTAGACAGAGAAACCTGCTACAACTTGATCCATGTTCCAGAGTCCTACACCGGACCTAGACTATCCTTTCCTCTCTCCGTCGCTGATACAAATGCGCTCCTGAGTGCGTTTAAGGATCAGCAGGTACCAAATATGAGCCTTTCACTTTGTCTCTTAAACATCTGATTGTCTGGTGGTTTAGATTTGGGGTGCTCACTGCTTTTTTCCACACAGACTCTCCATGCCAGATATGTTCTCCAGCTGCTGTATGAGACCAAAAAGCTCCTCAAACAGATGCCAAACATAGTCCACTTGTCGACATCCTACTACAAAGAGATCACTATATGTGGTGGGTCTCAGTGTCTCTTGTTAATTTAAGATTCAAAATTATACGTTTTGAGGACAATAAAAAAATATCTATTTTAATATCAGTGAAGCACAGACCAAATGAATGATCTCTGTAGTTTTTAAATGAGAGATGGTGTTGTTTAAAAACAGTTGATTGTATCTTACTGGCAGCTTCCCAAGAAAGGTAAGTCCTACTTATTTGCACACTGATCAGCCACTTGACTCCTCTTGCACAGCTTTCCTCCTCCTACCTTTGCATGTCATTAAACTCAAGAATACTTGAGTAACAAAAATGAAAACACACACTCATAAGGCTGAGGTGGAGCTTCCTAATGATTAGGGAGTTTTAGACCACTTCTGTAAACCCATAAAGCAACAGGACTTCAGTTTCTTGATTGCAGTGACTTTTTTCTTTTGGTACAGGTGATCTGCACGGGCGACTTGATGACTTACTACTTATATTTTATAAGGTAAGGCTGCCCGTACAACAGCTTTCTTAAGCATAATTCGTGCATCCTCTACCTCATAGCAATATCAGATTTCATGTAGATATTTTATAAATAAAAGACCGTCTGCAGTTAAACCCTAAGCAGTCACTATATGTAATTTTTATCTTTTTAATAAATTCTTCTGCCCGTCAGAGAGCAAAGAACAACTAACTGAGACGCATCAGTCATTTTTTAGACTGTAGGGTCATTGCAGGGGGGGGTTTCTATGACAACAAACCTCAGATGGTTAAATAAGTAAAAGCTGAAGGTCTGACTGTTTTCATGTTTTTGTTTTTCTCAGAATGGCCTTCCCTCTGCAGAGACACTGTACGTGTTTAATGGGGACTTTGTGGACCGTGGAAAAAAGTCAGTTGAAGTGGTTATCCTGCTGTTTGCCTTCCTTTTGCTTTACCCAGACTACATGCACCTGAACCGAGGAAACCATGAAGACCACATAATGAACCTCAGGCAAGTTTAGAAAAGGGTGAAGTGAAAAATAGTTACCTGTCTAGGTTCACCACAAACACGAGGAGAATAGAGTATCAGGGTTTAAAGGTTTGTGGTTTTCGTTTTCCAGATACGGGTTCACAAAGGAAGTCATGCAGAAGTACAAGGTAAAGTCCAAATTCATGCCGTCAGTCTGATTTTATGTCCACAACTCAGTAAGCACTTTGCAGCTTGGTGACTGTCACAGCTGATTTTTATTTTAAATTACTGTTCTCGCCTGTTTGCAGACTCATGGCCGTGAGATCCTTCAGCTGTTTCAGGATGTTTTCAGCCTCCTGCCCATCGCAACAGTTATAGACGGAAAGATTCTGATTGTTCACGGAGGGATTTCAGACCAGACTGACTTAGACTTCCTGAGCTCCATAGAGAGACACAAGGTCAGCGGAATCAATCAGCTTTGGCCACCAGGGGTCAGAAAAAACAACTTTTTACATGCTGACACACTCATACCCACCACACAACAATGTAGCTGTGTGCAGCGTGGAAAAAAGTGGTTTGTAGTTTTATCCAGCAACAGGAGTCCGATTCCTGAGACGCATATCGAGACATGTTGTAGAGTTGGTTCAGCAGCTTCTCGGTAACAGCTGCAAGGCTCAGTTATTGACAAGTTATTCGAGTAGCTTCTTTCTAGGTCTGCTACTGTGTGAATAGGGGTTAAAATGGGATTTGGCAGGTGGGGAGACCCTAAGGTTGGGTGTCGGAGTGCGGTGTGGAGAAAGGCATCACTTTCCCTACTTCTCAGTAGGGGTGGCTGTGGCTCAGGTGGTGAAATGGGACTTTTACCCACTGGAAAGGTAGCAGATCGATCCCGGACTCCTCCGGTCTGTGTGCCGAAGCATCCTTAAGCAAGATGCTAAACCCTGAGTAGTGTGATTCTGTGTGTGATGTGTATGATAGATATCAGTCACATAAGCTCTAGTTAAATTTTATTTGTATGCTACCTATAATCAGCTGGCCTCTGCTGCTGTTCCAATATTCACTGCTCCTTGTGGATTTAGCCAACTGAATTCATTAAGACCTAAGCAGATGTTTGTGAGCTGGTTGGCTGATTTCCAACCCCTAGACAACATAAAGCTGGTAAAAAGTAGAAGTTAAAAAAAAGTGGAATTTGGTGAGTGAATCTAATCAGCACCATAAATCTGGTGTCCTTGATGAAACACTGAAAACAAAAGCAAAGTGTGCTTTGCAGTCCAACATACAGCATCATTGTAAAGTTCACCTGTTTGTGTGTTTGTTAAACTGTTTGAAAAGTTGCATTTGAAATTCCCTGCATGATTACTCTGTTTATGCTCACTCCTCTATAGCACTGATTAGATTCTGAATTAGGCCATCATGAACAAACTATAGTCACATCTGCACCTTGAACACATCACAGAGATGAGAGGTAAAAAGGGATGTGTTGATGGTGTAAGCAGACACATTTAATTGCTCATTAATCTAAAGTGCCTCAGTGCCTTTCCAGACACTTCCAGCCCACCTTAACCCCAGTTTGTGGGCTTTTATTATGGTATCAATCTGCATTCAAGATTGCTACTCAAAGTCCGATTAATGGACTCCTGCTTGATAAAAAAATATATATATATTTAGCCTGACAAATTTTGAAGGTTTCTGTGACATTGCAGTGTTTCACGGTAGGATTAGCTGAATAATGAAGCAGCAAACCGGAGGCCAGGTTTCCAGCAGAAGGGTTAAAAAAGTAGGAAATTCATGCACAGGGATTAAGAGAAACAATTTGTGAGGGTTCACCTTATTTTGCAGGACCAATACAGAGTAGTTTGACTTTGCTTCACTGTTTGGTGCTCAGGTGACGTTCACGAAGTTTCCGTTTCACAGAGCTTTTCTTCTGGCGTGTCTCAGACAATTGCAAAAAGATGTTTAAATGCTTCTAATATGGCAACCTTCAACACTCTGTCCTGTACCTATGCTATTTTATTGTTTTATTATTATTTATTATTTGTTTTTATTTTCAATGATGGACTCTTGGTTTTGAAAGAAAATGACACAAAAATAAAATTGTATTTGAATAAATTATTGCATTTATTCTCTTAAAATGCAGAAAGCACAGAGCATGAATGGTCATCACAGGTATTTCAGAGAATGCTTTAATATGTATGAAAGTTATCATTAAGGAGGATTTTATTGATTTATTTGTTTATTTTTTACATTAAAATACTCCTTTAGTACTTGCTAAGCACTGCACTAAAGATGTGTATATACCTTTTTTTTCCACCCTTTTCTTATGTTACTTTTCTGTCTTCACATTTTGCTGTTTGTCAGCACGTTGTTTCCACCTCACTGCTACCTCCCATTCCTTCCTCTTGTAGGTAAAATCAGCCCTGAGATTTCCCAGGTGCAGTTTGGAGCACCTGGACATCAGTCAGTCCTGCAGACAGACCAAAAGAACGAGATCCACAGACAGCTCTCGTCCCAGCAGCAGTCGCAGTCAAAACAAGAACCAAAGGACACCCAACACGAGGTGTGACCGCAGCCCACAGACACTCACATGTGTTTTCATGTAGTAAGGTCCATGTGCAGTTAGCTCCTGTTAACAGCTACAGGGCCTCTTTTCTACCGCCATTTGTTTTTTCTCTAGGAAGAAGCGATGCAGGCTCAGCCGACAAGACAGCGCCGCCTCCACCTCTTCCTCCTCCTCGTCTTCCTCGTCATCCTCTTCACTCTGCTCTCCTCGAACCCCATCCTGCCTCTCCCCGCATGCTTTTCCATCTTCTCCTTGCATGCCTTACTCTGTTAACGTCCTCCAAGTGCCTTTCCTGGACTCTCTGTCCTCCGTTCCCCTCCCGTCACCTTCGCAGCATGAGCAGGAATGGAAGCAGGTGAGAGGAGCAGAGAACACATTAACACTGTTTAATAATCCGCTCATTTGACGAGCTCCTTCTTTGTCTTGGTCAACACTTTCATCTGCTTTACTCTGGAGCAGATAGTGGATATATTGTGGAGTGACCCTAAAATCCAAGATGGCTGCAGTCCCAACACCTTTAGAGGTGGCGGCTGCTACTTTGGCCCTGACGTCACCCAGAGACTACTGCTCCAACACGGACTCCAGCTGCTCATCCGCTCACATGAGTGCAAACAAGAAGGATACGAGTTCTGTCACAATGGAAAGGTACACAAGGTGCAATCATTTCATTTAAAAGTCTCACTAACACTTCAAAATACAGCCAAGACTAAGGGCTTAATTCCCCTGTAATTAAATGGAATTTCACTGTAATTATAATTACAGTTAAGTGTAGGTACCCTCGGGTAAGAGGATAATAAGTAATATTTTTACACAAATTAAAGAAATAATTATACTCTAAGCAAATATAAGTACTCTTTAAATAATTATAATGAATGTATAAGTAATTTTAAATGGCGCATGAGGAACTTTAAACTTTGTATAACGTAAGGTATTTTATATTAAAGAAGCAATAATTACAATGTAATTACATTTAAGTAGTGCATAAGTAATTTTAGTTGTGCCTAAATTCTAGATATAGTACAGGAAAGGACTGTATGTCATTTTAAGTACTTCTAAAGTAATTTTGTACTGCATCATTTCTTTAATTTTGCTGAAAAACAAACAGTATTTTCCCATCTTACATTGTACAATTTAGGGGAACCAGCCGTGTTATGGAGTGGCTTAACTCTGGCTTCATCATAAGGTCACATAGGCCTGAGAATTTTCCTTGTAAGTCGTTAAGGCGGAACAGTCATTTCATTTATATTGGAAAAGTAAAAGGACAGTTGAATAATAAAACATTCATCATGAGCATCAACATTATGAATACTTAGTAAAGATGTAAAAAGACGAGATTAATCCACTTCATAATGCCGCCAACACCATGAAAAATACAACATATTTACAATGTAAGATGAGGAAATATTGTTTGTTTTTCAGATAAATTGCCAGGATATTTCACAGTACTTAAATTTGCTTACAATATAGTAATTTCCTCTGAAGCACTGACTTGTTACCTCTTATTCTAGTGTGCCTACATTTAGGTATTTGTAGGTAAATATAATTACATTCTAATTTCAAATAAAGTACATTGAAATTCCAATAAATTAAAAAAGAAATTCTGAAAAATTCTAAAAAATGTTGTTCACTGTCTAAAGGTTTTGCCTTGTTGAGTCTATTTCCATATTGTAGGTGATCACCATCTTCTCTGCATCCAATTATTACGAGGAGGGAAGCAACCGAGGAGCCTATGTCAAACTGGGGCGAGAGCTGGTGCCCCGCTTCTACCAGTACCAAGTCAGCCGGACTACTCGCAAACTTACTCTGACACAGAGGTAACAATGGTGTCTGTGTGTACTGTGGGGGCGATGAAGCAATGCTCAGGGTAGTAGCACTGAAACTAATCATGACAAAATCTTGTGCATAATTTTATAATTCTATTAAATGTGTAAGAAAGGTTGGTCTAGGTTAACGTTTGTGTCTGCAGAGTGCGAGCCGCTGAGGGCTCTGCTCTCAGAGCCTTAAAGGAGAAGCTGTTCGCTCACCGCTCCGAGCTGATGGCCGGATTCCAGCAGTACGACCAGAATAACACAGGTGCTCTCTTCTCACTCCATTTTCTTATAAATGTCATGTTGTTTTAATATTCAAGTTTGATTCCCAGGCTGACATGGAGAGTTTTTACATTTGCACACGCCTTGCTTCAGGTCGTGTGTCGGTCTGCGAGTGGGCTCTGGTTCTGGAGTCTGTACTGAGACTGGACCTGCCGTGGAGGACGCTTCGTCCACACTTAGCCCGTCTGGCACCGGATGGCAGCCTGGAGTATCAGTCCTGCTTCGAGGATATGGGACCAGGCATTCCTCTGCCGCAGGTCAGAAACGAAGGGGTACAAAAGAAACACGTGCATTCGCTCGAGAAATGACCTTAAAGGAAAAAGGAGATGAAGGAAAACCCTGTTTTCATCTGAAGTTATACGCTTAATATAAACATCCCTTTGTCTTATTATACAATACTCCAGTCACAAACATCCAGATTATCGAAAGGCTCTTCACAGCATTTTTTTTTTTACATAGCAGTTCTTTCTCATTTGCACTTTTAAAACGAGTCCATTTTACTCCTGATCCTGTTCTTTTGTCTACAATGTCGAACTTGTATCTGCGAGGAGGGATTTTGCCCCCAGTGGTACAGTTACTTCTAGCTTCGCAGTACATATTCCCAGCACTGCTGCTGTTAAACACAGCTGGAAGGACTCCTGTTTTTTATCTTTCAGGTCACTTCAAATTTGGCTGAAACTCTGTTCAGATACAGGACAGACATTGAGATAATATTCAACATCATAGACAAAGATCATTCAGGTAAATAAAAAGCAAAAAATCTTTTTCGAGATAATGTTTCAAATAAGCCAAAACTGACTTGTACGTGAGTGATGTTTGTTTTAACCTGTAGGTCTGATTTCCATTGAGGAGTTTCGTCAAACTTGGCGTCTTTTTAGCACTCACTTGGGAGTTGCCATCGACGACAGTGCCATTGATGACCTGGCCCGGAGTATTGACTTTAATAAGGATGGCAGTATAGACTTCACTGAGTTCCTAGAGGCATTTAGAGTGGTACACAAACTGGACAGCAAAGATCAGCAACTGCATGAAAAGATGGATGGAGAGAAGAGGACAGGCTGAATACTAAACTGTGGAAGTACCAATGTAGGATACTGTAGGATATAACAAAGGACAGCATATACATCTCAGAATATTTGAAGACAATACCACCGGAAGTGATGAGGTCATGATTCATTAGCAGATTTCTCAATTGTGGTGTGTGGGTTAGGGTTAGGAGGGGTATGGCTGTGGGAATGCCGATATCTAAGGCTGATTTAAATAAAGTGATATATCCCTAATTTTATTATGTCTTTTATTGCACCACCAGCTTTTTAGAGGGGCTGACTGTGGAGAAAAAAACGTCTTAACAACTGCTGGTCCTAGTAAAATGAATATTTCAAAGAACAGCACAATAGAGTGAAAAAACTTTACAGTGAGCTGATTAAAAAAAATCAGCTACAAAATCAGAAGAACCTCTCGAGGCGTTGTGTACTTCAGGCACTGTTTGATTTACTTTTATTCATTTTCTTCCACAGAAATTGAACTGAAAAATATGGTGCAATTGAAAACGATTGTACAGCTGTACCTAATAAAGTTGACTGAATGTAGGTTTACAAGTATTGGTGTAAAAGATGTTTGTTTGTTTTTTTAATTAAATTTTTTTATTTAAAAAAAAAATATTTTTTTTTATTATTTTATTTTATTTTATTTTTATTTTATTATTATTTCTTAAATTGTAAAATATAAGTGTCCAGTGGGAGGTCCCTAAATTATTTGTCCAAAACTATAAGATGTTTAGTTAAATGTATTCTTGTCTCCACCAGAGTCCAGAGATGGAGAGTACGCTAGAAACTGCTTTGGCATCAGTTGTATACACACATTTTCTCTTCATTTACTAGTTGGTCTAAATAACTATTGTTGGGTTTATCTAGGCACAAACCCCGCTGGAAGACGAGACACTCAATAACTACACGACAAAACAAGGCAAGACAGAGCTCTTTTGTCTTTGTGGCTCGCGAGGGAAGTCAGCCCAGGCCTTCACCTGTCCTTAGCCAACTTCGACTGATTCCTCTGCTACAGCCCTTTTTATTGTCAACAAGCAATCATTCATGAATATGCAATTACAAATACACATGACATTCTTAAGCAGTCATATCTGAACAACATCAGTGTCTGTATTCTGTGTGTGTAGGTGCATGTAGGTGCATGTATGTGTGTGTGTGTGTGTTTCCAGCCATACCATACATCAGCACAGACACAGATAAAGGAAATGTTAGAAGGTTGAAAATAAATCCTCTGACTGTCCGGCCTTTTCTTCATAATGATAGCCATATTAGGACACATAAAGGCAATGATTATATATCTATATATTTTAGCACAAATGACAATATAAGAAATATCAATTCCAACACTATAATTATAGAAAATAAGGAGTGTGTTTTTTTATCATCATAATTATAATTATAATAAATTATTATTATTATTATACTTGCTTAAATTTGAAGCAATTATATGATAAAAGGAGAGCGCTTGAACGCACCACGGTAATTTGACAGATTTTACACACAGTATTTGAAAGCAGCACAACTGTGTCGACAGAGCAGCGTTCAACTGCATTTTAGAAGCGAACAACACACAAAAAAGCTAATGATGGTGAAGAAGAACAGGGACACAGGCCATAGATCTTTTCAGATACCAGTGACATGGGATTTGTAGTGTGCTTATCAGACCAGTGCTTATCAGACCAGTCTCTGGTAGCAGTTAGCGAAAACCTTTACATCACAGTAGCACTGTTATGCTGCCATCTTTCGGGGAAATTATGTCATTACACCGGTATGAGGTTGGGTATAGGTGGATTTGTTTTTTTGCTCGTGAGTTTTTGCAAACAGTCAGAAATGTCCACGAGCTGCAGTGAGTCAACATTTTGCACAAATGTTATTCAAATCCCAATGTTTGTTTGTTTGTTTGGGGGTTTTTTTTGTTCTTTTATCACATCTCAGGATTTTAGCCCCTGTCTGAACAACAACATCCTGGTAACGTTTTTAGTTTTTATTTTATTTTTTATTTGAATCAAAAAGATTTTTTTTTTTACAAATGTTTTTAACTTTTTCTTGTTTTTTAATGTTTTACAAAATTTCAGTTATGAAGCACTTTGCAACTTAGCTGTATGAATATAGCAATTTGTAATACAATATTTATATTTTCAATTAACGCTTTATCTGGCAAGGAATCTAAACAGTTACTTGATTTGCATCTTAACAATGACCTTTTTTTATTTTTTTTAGGAAAGATAAAAGGTAACAGTCTTGTAATATCCTCCAGTAACTCTCTAGGGTTGTGAAATATGCCGTGTGCAAGCATTTCAAGTTCCCAGTAAAAGGTTAAAAGCTGCAAAATAGCAAACTTAGTAGGTATGAGATGGTCTGACTTATGTCTTATATTCAAATCGGGCTTGCATATGACTAGGACAATTTTGTAAGTTTCTAATAAAAGATGGGACTGTTTTGGAAAATGGATATGGTTCTGGACATGCACACTTTGAGTCTTAGATCTTTATGATGCCAAAATGCATCAGCAGCTACACTCCCCTGCTGTTCAATTCAATTTTATTTATATAACCCCAAATCACAACAACAGTTGCCTCGAGGCGCTGTTCAAACCTTCTGTTTGCTAAGAGAAGTTGCTCAAAAGGAAGTTGACTTGGAGGGTGATATAAAAGCTTGTTATAGAGAGTGAATGTGCACGGGTTGCACCAAAATTCAGTACAAAGAATTATTGTCAAACGTGAATCATGTAATCATGATCTAGTAGTCCATGAGAATTTTTATAGAGTTGGAAATTAGCACAATAAGTCTCCCTTAATCTTAAATTTAGTTTTTTTTTTAAGTTATATCAGTTCTTCTGTTATACAGAACTGACACCCTAAACAATGAAGGCTGTTCCCAGATGTGTTCCTACTCCCACTAAATTCAAAGTTCTGGCCAGGCCCAAACCAGGACTCGGTGACACTGCTGACCTGGAGTTTTGCTGCTCGATCACCAGTGAACAGTTGTTGTTTTTCTTCCTCTCTAGATGCCCTCAGGCTCTTTCTGATTACACAACAGTTTGCACTGAGGCATGTTACAGCACCTCAGGGAAGCTCCTTAACATGTTTTATGTGTTTATGTCTGCGCCCTGATACCCCATAACCTTTGAAGGCTACCAGTGGACATAAAAATATGCAAAGAAAGGGCACATGTGCAGAAAATTGTTAGTGTGGGAAAACTGAAGAGGAAGCGAGCAAACATCTTTGCTATGGCTTGTTTGTTACAAACCACAACAGCAGGCAAGCATGGAGACACATCAATGAGATTTCAGATTCCAGTTTGATTCAGAGCAGTGAGGGACATGATCAGCTTTTATCTTCTGTCTAAATGTAGATTTAGCTGAGATGCTGCAACATGTTTTGGCTCTTTTAAGTGTGGCTGCAATGAAGGTTAACTCATGACCAGGCCTGCTGTACAGGTGTGTGAGTGGCTGTGTGTATTTGTGCACTTGTGACTGTTTCTATCATTTATGTCGATGAACATTGCATAGTACAGCACTTTCCAGCTTTCCAGATGTGGTTGAGTGCCTATTGCCTGCAGTTGTCACAGATTCCATGTCTGGATATGCTAACACTCCTGGGAGCTTCCACTGCCTGTGTCCTGCAGACCACAGCCTTCAGATTGCAGATAGCCTCTGCCAAGGTTGCAGAACATTTGCTTGATATAACTTACTGAATCGATTAACTATATTACTGTTACTCTGAGTACTGCTTAAATACTGTTTTTCACCAAAGTTTAAAGCAAACACTAACATTAGTACAGACTTCATGCATGCAGACTTTAGGCTTTAAATAAGAGTCCCACATTAAAGCCTGGAGTTTGTCAGCAGTACAGTAGCTGCAGACTGTGCTGTCTCCATTTCTGTTCACCTTGTATCTCAGAGTTTTAGCACAACTCTGGGTCATACCACCTGCAAAAATACTCTGATTATGCAGTGGTTGAATGTAATAGTGTTGGGCAGGAGGAGTACAGAGCACTAGTGGATGATTTTGTGGCATTGTCTTGGGAAAATCAACTGTTTCTGAATGTGAATAGGACCAAAGGACAACTGTGCGAGCCGTTCCTGGGAAAGGATGTTGATGTGGGGAAGGAGTAAAAGTCCCGGGGTACTGTTGTGGTGAGCACAGCTGTGGACTAAATAAAGTATTTTTCATCTTATTTCATGATCATGTCATGCAAAAATTCAAACTGTAGACAACTGTGAGTTGGTTTTTATAGTAGTGAGTTGGTTCAAAGCGATTGTACTTCACTTCTTGATAAAGTCACAGCAATGTGGAGAAGTCCTATTTTGCATCCAATGAGCCACACTGTCTTGTGATTTTTAAAGTGGTCTTGAGAAACAGTTCTCCGGGCTTTCTGAAGATCTTTCCATTTTTCTTTGGACATTAGCTGCTTTTTCACATTAACCTGACCATTTTCAGAGGAATGCTTTTTTAAATTTAAGGTATTTAACACTCATCTATGAATCACTAAAGCATAAAAAAGGCACCTAACTGAATTAACAAACCGGTGTTGTGTTTACACATAATAGAGAAATTAGCAAACAACCTATTTTGAATTGTATCTCGAAAAGAAATAGTGACACTGAGCCATCATTAACTGCACATGTGGTTACTCTACTGCGCTACTATTGCAGATAGAAATGTCAGCAAAAAGAGGCCTACTATAATTTCAGCAGCTGGGAAAACAGACTAGACACCCACTGCTAGTCTATGCCAAGGAAAACACCTGGCCAACTTCCACCTGTTGGGTAGTCGTTAACTTACTTTTGCTGTAAATTAATTACGACATTGCAGTCCTTTCTGTGAAACAGGAAAATGGATGTGCATATTAAAAAAGACACATGAAAGCTTTTTTTTTCTTTATTTATTTCACACTAAATGAACAAACCTTTAGTATATGTTGAGGTAAAGTTGACCAGACATATCAGTAGCATAACCCTGGAGATTTGCAGAAATAGACTGATTTTTATTCTTTATACACACAACACAGATT